AAAGAGTTAGCTGGGTGTGGTGGCTCACACCTGTAATTCCAGCACTTTGGGAGGTGGAGGCAAGAGGATTGCCTGAGCCCAGGGGGTCGAGACCAGGCTGGGCAACTTGGTGAGACCTTGTCTCTACAATAAGCCAAAAAATTAGCCAAGTGTGACAGTGCAAGACTGTAGTTCCAGCTATTTTGAAGGATGAAGTGGAAGGATATCCTGAGCCTAGCAGGTCAAGGCAGTAGTGGTTGTGAGTGGGCTACTGCACTCCAGCCTGGGTGACAGAGTGAGACTCCAACTCAAAAAAAAAAAAAAGAAAGAAAAGAAAAATAAGAACTGGGGTTTGGTTTGGTGAAATATTTAGCCAAGTTCTCCAGAGCAGGACTTCAAGCAAAGCATCTAATATACAAAGCATCTAATACAAGGGTATTTTAAAACAACAGAAATTTATTTTCTCACAGTTCTGAAAACTAGGGATCTGAAACCAAGATATCAGCAAAACCATGCTCCCTCTGAAGGCTCAAGGGAAGGATCTTTTCTTGCCTTTTCAGCTTCTAGAGAGACTCTAGAAAGTTCTAGAAGCCTTCAGCTTCTGGTGACTCAGGCATTCCCTGGCAGATAATTCCAATCTCTGCCTGCCCCTGTCTCCACATGGCCTTTCTCTGTGTGTCTGTTCTCTCTGTGTCCTTTCTACTTCTTCGAAGGACACAAGTCACTGGGTAGGCTCACCCTATTCCAGTGTGATCTTGTCTCAATCCTTAACTAGTTATTTCTTCAAAGAGCCTGTTGCTGAGTAAGGTCACAGTATGTGGACATGACTCTCTGGGGAACCACCCACTGCACGTGGAATGCTGCTTTCAGCAGAGGTATTTGTCGCAAGGTTTCTTTTCTGTGTTTGACAAAACTCCAGTCACCTTCACCCACGTGTCCTCTCCTGCTCTTCATTCCAGATCTCACGCCAGAGAACAGTGTTCAGAAGGGGAAGGGGTAGCCCCTTGAGATGTGGCTGGACAACCTCCCAGGAAGTCCTTGCCTTCGAGTCTTTTCTGGCTTCTGAGAGGCCTGCTCCATCGGGCTTCTGCCCAGCACACCAGCAATGTCCAGTGAGACTCGGCTTATCAAGAAGCACCCTTGGTGGCAGGGTGTCTTTTTCAGGAGTGTTGTTGCTGTTTTTCTCAGTTCTGAGGAAGGCCACCCAGGGTCCTTTTGTACCCAATCCTTTTCCAGCCAAGCTATCACAGTTGAGACTTTTCAGGGCAGGGGCGAGTTTTCATGAGCTCTGCTCTCAGAAATTACAAAGAGGAATTCAAAGGGGGTTCATGACCATGTCAGCAGGGATGTCAGGACTCAGAACCAGAGGACAGAGACTGCTATGGTAAGGTATCTGCCGGACTATTTTCTTGCTGATCTCCCCTAACGACTTTCCTTTTAACAAAAAATGAATGTGAGTGCTCACTTTAGGGTGGCCAGGCAAAAGGCAGCAGGAAGACCAGATGCTACTGGGAGCAGGTGGACCCACAAGGATTATGATGGGGAGAATGGGGATGGAGGGCAGGGTTAGCTGGTCTTGACTGCAAATGGGCTTAGAGGCATATTGATAGACACATGCATCCATCCAGTATTATGGCTACAACCACAGAGCATCGGTCAGCATTCTTGGTTGAGCGATAGAACCATCCCTATCTCCAACTGGCTTAAGGAGCTGCAAAGAAATTGATGACTCAAGTCACCAAAAACTTCAGGCATGGCTGGATTTAGGTGCTCACATGTTATCCTCACCCATTCCTACCTCCCAGTTCTGCTTTCCTCTACTGGCTTTTCTTCTAAGACAGGTGTTCTTCAAGGCTAAGAAATCATTGCCACTGGCCACTTGGTCACCCCAGTGAAGAGTGTTTATGTGATAAATTGTGTCATGGGCCCAATTCTTCCCAATTCACACTGTGTGCCATGAGTTGTGATGTTTGATCATGTGACTTGCTTGAGCCAAAAGAATGAGGTGGAAGTCACAGTGGTTAGTTCCTAGCCTAGGCTTCACAGAGCTCATCTGTTTTTTCCAGCGCTCTTGTGTTTCTATTACTGCAGGAGAGAGAGATGCCTAGGCTGGCCGGCCGGTTCCAGGAGAGGATGAGACACAGGTGGAGGAGAGCTTAGTTACCCTAGCCAAAGTGAATCTGGATCAGCCAACCACTAGATGCATGACCCCGTCCAGGCAACGCTGGAGAAATCAGCACCATGGTTGCCACTGAGATGATCAAAACTATGACACCTTCTTTCTCAGCCATCTCAGCAGATGCTCCAAGTTACCTGCTCAAACCCAAGCCCATCCCTCTCATCCTTTGTACCTCTCATCCAACATGGGCTAAAATCAGGGAGGGTTGGATTCCAAGAAAAACTGGGGTTCTGTTACCAGAAAATGGCCAGGCATCCACTACAAAATGCCTCTCCAGTGTCAATCATTTCCTCTGAGGCAATCTGAGAATTGGACATTTTCAACAGACACTTATTTATTCTATTAATGAAGTCAAGGGATGGGACTTCCAGACCCCTATACGAAGCTCACCAGCTTAAGAAGACCCTTTGCTGGGAGAGTTGCTGAGTTCAAGCAAGTCTTGGCAGCATTCAGACCACGTGCTGTTTATGAGAAGGGTGCCAGACTCTGTTCAGTGCTCAGGCCTCAAGGGATCTGGTTTTGGTTCTGCCTCTGGTTTCCTTCTAGAATCCCACTTGAGTTTTGCAGTATGTCGCTACTTAAGCATTTTCCTGTACAAACTAAAAACAGTATTATTAAGCAAAAAAATGAAACATTTATAACTCATTGGTCATATTCATAACCCCATCAGCAAATATTTCACGTAGGCTATTTACCATATATATCTGAATGTAAGGTGAGATTTTTTTTTTTCTCCCCAAGGTTGTCCCTTCAGAAGGGAACTGCTTTATTTTTTTGAAATCTTCGGCATCTCTCATATATATATGAGAGGATTGCCTGGGCCTGTGGGTATATATATATACTTTCACCCCAGCCTCCCAAAGTGCTGGGATTATAGGCGTGAGTCACAGCACGTGGCCTATCTTTCATATTTTGACGTGCTCTCTCATTTGCCTTATCTGGATCAATCTTTGTTATATTTTTACTGTTTGGGGAAGCTTATCTGTAAAAGCTGCAAATTCATACTGGTTTAGGCTGCTTATAGAGGCTAACTCACCAAATCAGCATTATTTTTAAAAAGAGAAAATAAAGATTCAGTAACTATTTCTGGTTGTATGAATTCATGAATTCGATTGCAAATGTTATAAACAAGGCTTTTGATGATTACAGATTTGTACATATAAAACACAATTTAAAATAAAAGTGCTATTGTTAATGTGAGTTTGATCTTGAGATAAAAATTTCAAAGGTATCATCATGTGTCCAGAATTTTCTGTTTCAGAAGACACAGAAGTGCTGATAATATATACTGTAAACTCATGCTGGACAACTTGAAAAAGGGCATGATTACATCAAAGACATAGATGCTACAGTCACAGGTGGAGAGTTTGAGTGAAACCATTGCATGAACTATTTCTAAGTGAATATACCATAGAGCTAAATGTGTGATATTAAATACGTTACATGCCTCATTGGTTTGTTAAATGATACAAGAAGACATTTGATGATTTCATCTATACCCACACATGTGTTCTTGCTTACTACAGCTGTAAAATAAATCTTGAATCCTCCCATATCATTTTTTTTCAATATGGTTTTAGCTATTCTAGGTCCCTTGCCTTTCCGTATACATTATAGAACAATATTGTCCACATTTACAAAAAAAAACTGCCTGGGATTTTGATAGAACTTGCACTAATCTTGCGGGGAGACTGACATCTTTACTATTGTCAGGACTCCCAATTCATGAACATGATGTACCTCTACGTTTGCTTTGTTCTTCTTTGGTTTTTAAAATCAGCATTATTTTAGTTTTCACCATACAAGTCCTGTGTGTGTTTTGTTAGATTTACCGTCTCATTTATTTGCATGATTATCGGTGGGATTCTAATTTTAATTTTAGTGTTCATGTGATCATTGTTAGTATATAGAAATTCAACTGGTTTTTGTATGTTTATCTCATATCCTGTAACCTTGCCCAACTCAGTTTAAACCAGAGGCTATTTTTTTCCCCTGGTAAATTCTTTGGTTTTGTGTTCTCTCTCTCTCTCTCTCTCTCTCTCTCTCTCTCTCTCTCTCTCTCTCCTTTCTTTTTGAGTTGGAGTTTCCATCTGTCACCTAGAACAGAGTGCAGTGGCACGCTCATGGCTCACCATAGCCTCAACCTCCTGGGCTCAGGTGATCCTTGGGCCTCAGCCTCCCAAGTAACTGGAGCTACAGGTGCCAGCCACCACACCCAGCTAATTTTGTTTTTATTTTTTTTGTAGAGACGAGGTCTGGGCATGTTGTCTAGGTTGGTCTCCAACTGCTGGCCTCCAGCCATCCTCCTACCTCAGCCTCCCAAAGTGCTGAGATTTGGGATTTTTAAAATGTAGACAATCATGTCATCCACAAATAGGGACAGTTTTCTTACTTTTTTGTGTGTGTATAAATGCCAATGAGTATGCAGCTTTGATATGCAACTATAAACGTTGCCCACAAGTTAGAGGATTATGCTCTGACTGTGACTTTGGAAAAGAGGACGGTTCCATCAAGTGCAGCTGCTGCAGCTTGGAGCCACAATACAATCAAATCTTCTCATCTCATCTCCTGGCTATATTTTTATGAAAGGAAGGTGCTTTCCGGTGTGGAAGGTGAGGCTCATACGTGGAGGCGACCTCACGCACGGCAGGGGCCCAACAAGTGACCTACGATCCCCGCCGCTAGTGGCCGCTTTGGAGCCGCCCCAGGAGGGCGGGGACTGAGTTTCGGGGCGTGGCCTCCGCCGCGGCGCCTTCAAGCTCCTCCCAGACGCGCGGGGGCGCTGGGGGTCACTGTGAGTCGCGGCGGCGCTCTTTCCCAGCCTCCTTGGTTCCAGCTGAGGCTTTCGGGAACGCGGCGGGAAGATGGCGGCCCCCAGCGACCGGCTCGAAGCCGTGGAGGCAGAAGAGAGCGCGGGGCACCGGGGGAGCTCGGGAGTGGAGGTGGTGCTTCCCTCGGATCCCGCCGTCCCCGCCCCGCTGTGCCCTCACGGTGGGTCGGCATCTGGCCTCGGTCTGACTGTTCGGGCGCCAGGGGCGTGAGTTTTTCTGGAGGTGCCGAGGGAATTTGGGGAGCCTGTGTTTTTATCTGGCTCTCCCCCACCCTGTGTGATGCCCGGAAAACGCTCCCTCCTCAAAACGCTGTGTTTTTCACTTTATCTGAGGAGGCTTTAGAGCAAGTCCCCACTTTGGTGGCTTTGGCTTCGGTGCTGTTACCTATCTGGGGGGGAGGAAGAGGCCGAAGTTAGGCAAAGGGAAAGATGCGTGGTATTGAATAGCCCTTGTTGACACGTACTTGGGGGTTTCATTTATAGATTCGCTGTCTTTTCAATAAAGAAAAGTTCAGGAGGACGAAAGAATGAATTCTTGCTTGAAAACCAGACTCATTTTTTTTTTTTTCTAACTTGCAGAAAGTGGGTGTGTTCAACTCTGAAAGCTCAGGTTTGCCCTAAAAGGATAATCGCGCGAGAGAGGGCAGAGTTCTCAATTCCGTGGGCCCCTTCTTGTTTTAGTCTCAGAGTTTGTGATATTCATGACGTCGACAGCAGCTATACTGACAGTAGCATTTTCTTTTTGAGAAAACCAGTTTTTCAAAAATTATTTCTAAGTAATCAGTGCCTGAATGTTGTAATTGAGAGAAAAGAAACTTTTATTAAACAGAATTATGAAAACCTGTGCATGTAACCAAAACAGGTTTTTTCGAGTATATAAGAACGGTGAGAACTAGGAACTTGATGTAGATGACTATTATTTGACATGTTTTTCCCGTCTTGTAACTAGGACCCACGCTTCTGTTTGTCAAGGTGAACCAGGGGAAAAAAGAAATGCGGAGGTTTTATGCCTGCTCAGCCTGTAGAGATAGAAAAGACTGTAATTTTTTTCAGTGGGAAGATGAAAAGGTATATCAACTTTTTGTACATTTATTATTTTCATTTCGGATACGTGTGATGATTTTATTAATGTCTGAACCAATAAAAATGCTACATCACTTGAGGGGTTTCATCTCTTTTTTTGCAGTTTGAACATTTTATGAGATAAATCTCTTAAGAGAGATGCAGAAACCATGTTTTTTGGTCCGGAAGACTGGAGTTCATACTTTGAACTTCTGCATTGGGTTGCAGATCTTCTGTGCCTTAGTCAGTTTGGGCTGCTGCTACAAAAATACCATAGACTGGGTGGATTAAACAACAAACATTTCTCACAGTTATGGAGACTGGAAAGTCCAGAGGGGTTAGCAGATCCAGTGTCTGGTGAAGGCCCTCTTCCTAGTTTGCAAAGGGCCATCTTTTCATTATCCTCACTTGCTCTCTCTCTCTCTCTCCCTTTCCCACTCTCCTATAAATGCTTTACTCTCGTTCATGAGAGCTCTACCCTCATGACCTAATTACCTCCCAAAGGCCTCTCCTTTAGACACCATCACATTGGGATTAAGGTTTCAGCATATTAATTTTGGAGGGCACAAGTCCATAGCACTTTGTCTGTAAATAAAGATCTCTCAGTAAAGTGTGTAGGTCATGATCATTCCAGGAAGAGTTAAAAAACACTTTTTCTAAAAGCATACTTTATATAGCTACTAAATGACTGGTTAAGACACTTAGATATATAGTTATGAGCTTTGTATCCTCTTGGACTAAGCTCCAGTTAAAGTTTCCTAAAGCTTTGACAAGAGAATTTTTAGCATTGTTAGGTTTATGGTAAAACGGTGTTGTATACCACTCTTCTGCAGACCTGTTAAGATCACCATATGTAAATTAATCTCCCAATGCCTTTTGCTTCACACTTCTCTAGAATTTTCGTGGTTTTCTGTGTTTTGTCTTTCCCTGAAATGAATGCTTGTTGAATTAGTTAAGTCTCTGTCTTCTTGATGTCAGAATGTGATACCAGTTTTTCTAGGATGATAGCAAGTTTCAGTTTATTAAATGGGTTTTGTACTCTCTTTCAGTTGTCAGGAGCTAGACTTGCTGCCAGAGAAGCTCATAACCGAAGATGTCAGCCTCCCCTATCCCAAAGGCAGTGTGTGGAAAGGTAGTGATGTAGTGTTATTTTTCTTTATCATTTTAGTTGTAATGTTTCTTTATTTGCTGTTTTTTTCTGTGCCTTTAAGTTTGCTTTCATTTATTTATTCTTATTGTGGTTATATATGTTATATACATTATATACATTATAATTTGCCATTTCAATCTTTGTTTTGAGATGGGGTTTTGCTTTGTTGCCCAGTGGGCTCAAGTGATCCTCCTTCCCCAGCTCCCGGGTAGCTGGGACTACAGGAACACCACTATGTCTGGCTAATTTTTTATTTTTTGTAGAGATGGGTCTTGCTATGATGTCCAAGCTGGTCTGGAGCTCCTGACTGCAAGCAGTCTTCCTGCCTTGGCTTCCCAATGTGCTGGGGTTACAGGCGTAAGCCACTGCGCCCGGCCCATTTTAATAAATTTTTTTTTTTTTTAATTGGAATCTCACTCTGTCACCCAGACTGGAGTGCAGTGGCCGGGAGCAGCCACTGCAGCCTCGACCTGCCGGGGTTCCGGCAATCCTTCCACCTCAGCCTTCCAATTAGCTGGAATTACAGGTGTGTGCTACCACGCCCAGCTAATTTTTTGATTTATTGTAGAGATGAGGTCTCACCAAGTTGCTCAGGTGAGTCTCGAACCTGCAGACTCAGGTAGTTCACTCACCTCAGCCTCCCAAGGTGCGGGATTACAGGCTGAGCCACCGAGCCCGGCTCATTTTAATAATTTTTAAGTGTACAATTTAGTGAGATTAAGTACAGAGTGTTGTGCAATGTAATCATCACCACTGTCTATTTCTAAAACTTATTCATCACCCCAAACAGAAACTATCCCCATTAAGCAATAACTCCTCATTCTATTTTTCCCCAAACCCTGATAACCCCTAATCTACTTTCAGTTTCTGTGAATTTAACCATTCTAGGTATCTCATTTAAGTGGCATTATACAATATTTGTCCTGTAGTATCTGGTTTATTTCACTTAGCCTAATGTCTTCAAGGTTCATCCAGATTGTAGTATGTATCAGAACATCATTCCTTTATGTGTCTGAATAATAGCTGTTGTGTGTACCACATTTTGTTTAGCTATTAGGTATACCACATTTTGTTTATCCGTTCATCTGTTGACGGATACGTGGATTGTGTCCACCTTTTTGCTAGTGTGAGCATAATGAACATTGATGTACAAAGGTCTGTGTGAAACCCTGTTTTTGTTTTTTTGGGGTGTTTACTTAGGAGTGGAATTTCTGAATCATATGGTAATTCTATGTATAGTTTTTTGAGGAACTGCCAAGCTTTCCCGTAGTGTGCACCATTTTCTACTCCTGCCAGCATTGTGCAGGGGTTCCAGTTTCTCCACATCCTCACCAACTCTAGTTATTTTTTTATTTTTCTTTATTATAGCTGTCCTAGTAGTTGTGAAGTGGTATGCTGTTGCAGTTTTGATTTTTATTTCCCTAATTGCTAATGATATTAATCATCTTTTCATGTGCTTATTGGCTATTTGTATATCATCTTTGGAGAAATATCTGTTCAGATCTTTTGTCCATTTTTAATTGGGTTGTTTATCTTTTTGTTGAGTCACAGGTGTTCTTTATTTGTTCCAGATATTACACCCTTATAAATACATTATGCAAATATTTTTCCCATTCTGTATGTTATCTTTTTACTTTTTTGATGATGTCCTTTGATGTACAAGAGTTTTACATTTTGGTGAAGTCCAATTTTTTTTTTGTTGCATGTGCTTTTGGTGTCATAGCTAAGAATTCATTGCTGAATCCAATATCATGAAGAGTTACTGTGATTTTTCTTTTTTGAAATACTAAACCAGCCGGGCTCGGTGGCTCAGCCTGTAATCCCGTGCCTTTGGGAGGCTGAGGTGAGTGGATTGCCCGAGCCCGCGGGTTCGAGACCCACCTGGGTAATGAGACCTCATCTCTACAATAAATCAAAAAATCAGCCAAGTGTGGTAGTGCATGCCTGTAATTCCGGCTACTCGGAAGGCTGAGGCAGAAGGATCGCCGGAGCCCAGCAGGTCGAGGCTGTGGTGACTGGGAGCGACCACTGCACTCCAGTCTAGGCAACAGAGTGAGACTCTAACTCAAAAAAAAAGAAATACTAAACCAGGGCTGGGTGCCGTGGCTCAGGCCTATAATCCCAGCACTTTGGGAGGCCAAGGTGAGAGGACTGCCTGAGCCCACGGGTTCGAGACCAATCTGGGCAATTTGGCAAGACCTTATCTCCACAGTAAATAAAAAAATCAGCCAGGCGTGGTGGCATGTGCCTGTAGTTCCAACTACTTGGAAGGCTGAGGTGGAAGGATCTCCGGAACCCCAGCAGGTCGAGGCTATGGGGGCCGTGAGCATGCTACTACACTCTAGTCTGGGCGACAGTGAAACTCCAATTCAAAAAAACAAGGAAGGAAGGGAGGGAGGAGAGAGGCAGGGGGAGAGGAACCAAATTTTTTTAATGCTGTAAACATCTATTTTTTAAAATCTGCATTATTGAAATGTTTTATTGGGTAGATTGGAATTGAGTCATAGATTTAATTCTTTGACAAACTCGTGAAAACAATTTATGCCTCTCCTGTGTCACAGGCATTACGTGCTGGGAGAAGCTTCTTAAAAAGTCCGTGGTCTGGGCTACTGATGAGAAATAGGTTTTCACTTTGATGGCAGCTCCTTCATTTTACTTTGGCTGCTGTGTTCAGAAAGATTGTCTGGGATAAGTGGAAAGGAGTGCTGGGATCTAATAAGAATCTCTGAGCTTCTTAGTAGTAGGATTTTAAAGTATTCTGATGGACTTGGTGACTTATTTGTCCCTTAACTACGTGCTTAATCAGAGGTGTCTACCTATTGACTGCATGGTAATTCAACTAGCAACAAAAAAATGTTGAAAAGTGAATTAATGTAAATTGAGCACTACTGTGAGGTAGGCACTGTGCTAGGTGTTTTGTTTTATTTTTTATTTATTTTTATTTTTTGAGTCAGAGTCTCACTCTGCTGCCCAGGCTGGAGTGCAGTGGCAGGATCACGGCTCACTGCAGCTTCAACTTCCTGGGCTTAGGAGTTCCTTCTGCCTCAGCTTCCTGAGTAGCTGGGACTACAAGCTAATGAACTTGGCCTCCCAAAGTTCTGAGATTACAGATGTGAGCCACTGTGCCCAGCCTGTGCTAGGTGTTTTACATGAGATATATTTCAGTCTTGCTGAGATACTTTGCTTAGATGAGAAAATTGAGGCTTGTAGAAGTTACATAATGTCATCAAGTTCATATTATGAGAATGACTGAGCTGTTGCTCAAACTTATGCCTCTCTGATTCTAAAAGATTATTTTTAAAAATGAAAACAAATGTAATTACTATGTCATGTGTAGTGATTTAATATAAGGATGTATAAGGAGATTAAAGGTAAGGACTTATGTGGAGATAGGTCATGGTGAGATTATCAAGAGAAGATAGAATGTTAAAGATGCAGAAGTAGAAAGGCATTACCCTGGTTGCTGCCTTTAAACTCATTGTCATCATTTTGTAGCGTTCCCTCTTGGTCTCTTTCCTGTGCCAGGTTTGTTTGTAGTTATAATGTGTCCATGGATTTGTATTCTGCCCTTCTCACTTTGATCTGATAAGCATGTTTCTCATGTTATTACATAAGGATATTAGTGATTCAGTTGAACTCTGTAAGAAAGTCTAGGTGATCTTGTTTCCCTGCATAACAAAATTTTAGTCTGTAGCTAAATCACTGTTCTTTTCTTTGTACTGCCAGAGTATGGTTTTTTGATTGTAAAGAATTTTTGAAATTAGAACATAAAATTGGCTGAAATATGAAAGAATTTCCAAAATGTTATTTTGAGGGGAGCATAATTCCATCTCTTATCTAGTGATGATCCTTGAGAGCATGTCCTAAGAAGATGAGTTTCAACATCTTAAACCATCTCTTACTCATGACCTTGGATTTTGTTGCCAGAATACTCCATCCATCCATCCATCCTCTAGCCATCCTCCATCCATCCAATCATTCGTTTATTCAGAAGGTGTTTGTTTAGGGCTAACAAAGAACTTAAAATGCTAGTAGTAATGAAGTATATATATATATATATACATATATATATATATGTAGAGAGAAAGAGAGAGAGAGAGAGAGAGAGAGAGAGCCTAAAAAATGTATATACATTTTGAGAAAGGAAAAGAATGCATTAAAATTGTAATACTCAATATATACCAATAACAAAAGATGAATGCAAGTCACATTTGACTTCTGCAATTACAAGAGGTGCTCAAAGTGATTACCATCAGCGTCCAGACACTTCTGATTACAGTGAGCTGCTGCAGGACTTATTGCTATATGAGGCCTCCCAGATCTTCCCTTGTGCACATCACATACAGTGCATACCATGCGTCTCAAACTTACCATGAATGCGTGCAGTTGTCAGGCCTGTTGGAGGTTCTGTTGCATACTCACACCTTCATTATCATTGTATCTCCACAATGTTCTTGAATTTCAGATACTACAAAATAACCTTGCACTTCATAAATGACAATCATGCTTCCACCATTTTCTTTGACTGCCCTGCCTGTCACATGATGACGCTAGCATTCATTTGATAAATGCCATCTTTTGAGCAAAGGTCATACTACACATTGCTACCATAATTCAATTCACCTTCGAATAGTAATACAAAGATAACATCGCTTAAAATGTGTATACTTTTTTTGGCACTCCCAGTGCAGAAAAATGATACAGTATAGAGAAGATATGTTGTCTTGTTATTAATAGAAAAGACTAACTGCTCTGGAAAGTCAGAAGCATTAGGACTAACTTGTGGCTTAGCTGATCAACACAGTGTAAGGACATGATATTTGAACATGTTTTGGAGATGCATAGAAGAAGTTTATGCCTTTTGAGGCTGGGTGTGGTGGCTCACGCCTGTAACACCAGCACTTTGGGAGGCAGAGGTGAGAGGACTGCCTGAGTCAACAGGTTCGAGACCAGCCTGGGCAACATGGTGAGACCTTGTCTCT